AKKAWWTRRRRTTTTTCTCTTGGTTTTTTGTTACTTACCCGCCCACGTTGCTCCTTCTGGGACATGAACAAAACTCCTGTGTACCTGTCCGGGTTTGAACTTAACATCTTCCAAGTCGTGCACAAAATGGTTCACATTACTAACACTGGAAGAGAAAAAACATTGCGCTGCTTTTAGAAAGTATCTACAGCAAGATCGCAGTTCATTTCTCCCTCTAACAGGACACAAGGTCTGTTACTGAAGGTACTGACCGAGCTTTCCTCGATTGATTTTAAACTGAGAGCGAATTATTGTTTAGAATCACCTTCACCTATCCCTGATGCGTTAAGTATCGCATAAGTCCTCTAGACTTCTCGTTTAGAGTAAGCTGTGTAAATTCCGTCGCTAATTTTTTTCAAATCGCTCCATCTTGTCACCCGACAACATACCTGTTGGGTATAATGACTGTTACCGGAATTCTGAAGAGCGGTCCTCGCTGTGGGCAACTGATGTCATAAGCGGACACCTGAAACAAAGTCACAGCATTCTCACATCAGCGAACTTACTTTGTGTCATTCTAAGCAGCATATGGCAGTCTGCGACCTTTACCTACATCTCAGTACGCAGTTCGGTCTAGAACAAAAATTTATCTTTCAGAGCGATACTCTTAATTTCCACAGTATCAACGAAAGCTATTCAATCAACTAATTTAGTACTGTTTTTCATATTACTGTTTTCCCACCAACAACGTGGCGCCATTTTTCTACATATAAAACACACAGAACCCACAATTTCTCTATTCACCCAGACTAAGGGCTACCGTCGGCTTTAGAAACTCTCAACAGGGGCCAATTTACATAATCACCTCAGGGGATAAAACCAAATGATCTTATTTTGTAATCATTTCAGTAGACCACTATCAGTTTTGCAACTACCAGGAGTCCTTACCTCAGCATAGTGCGCTCCGTGCGACAAACCCCGAGGATCAACCTTGACACTGAAACTCCGCACTAAAAGAAATACAAAAATATTTATAGTCAGTTGGAACGAACTCTTCTTTCGATGAGTTTAACTCAAGACCTGAAAAAGAAAAAAATCTGTTTATCTTTTTTCCTCCAGAGGTTTCTAAACAAGCCTAACCTTGACGTACTCGACCCCACTTCCCTAGCTGGCATACAGACCTATCGAACCAACGTTATTTGGTGCCTCCTTTTGGCTAAATCTGATGACCACCTTGTCTTTTAATTTTACTCTTATTCCAACAAACCTGTATTCATGAGGACAAAATGATCCGGTACGGTCACCCACGACACTGAACTGACCAAACTAAGTCGGAGGTTGAGGTTTATTCTGTCATCGTTGGCTATAATAAAGGCGAAAAGAAAAAATAGAACAAAAACAAAAGAAGTTCAGAAGATTGGTAGATAGCCAGTAATTTCCGGAAGACCGTCGGTGGACCAATGACAGACCATTGAATAATTTTCGGTAAGAGGTCTATACATTGTCGGAAGATCATTGATGAACCGCCGGTAAATTGTTCGACGACTGTTTGAAGTGTCTAAACTTAACAGCAGCCCATATTTTAGGCGAAACTTTTATTTGCACAGACAAACTTATTTTGTTTTGATTTGTTTTGTTTTTACCCTGAACGACACATATGTGAAAAATAAAGAATTAATGTCCTACAACATACAGCACTTTTTGATTGAGCGTCGAACTCAACATAATTACAACCGCCAATCAGAAGAGAGGAAATTACTCACAAGAACCAATACGAAGTCACAGTAAAAAACAACCAAACTGCCAAAAGCGCGGGAAAACGCGGGCGACCATGTCGCGATTGTTTTAAGTTTTGCATCTGATTGGTTCAGAGAGTGGCACGAGTTTTCTGGACCAATCACAGAACTAAGTAAAACAAAAACAATGCAGTCCCGGATTACTTTCGACACTCGATTGAAACTTGCTACATCTTCACAATTGACTTTCTTGAGAATTGTAAATAGAATTCTACGCTTAACTCACCAACATCCTCTTCATAATGTGTAGTAACAGATACTGTTTCAGAGAAGGTTTTACACAGCTGACAAGATTCACGAAGATAAATTCCTCTCTTTCCTCCAGAACAAGTTATCTGAGCAAGGAAAAAATATCAAAGAAATGTTATTACCTGTGCACGAGCCGAGTCGCCGACATTGATGGACCCTGATCCCGCTTTCTGTCTCGTGAAGTAACCACAATCAGTACCAAATTATGTTGAGATATTTTGGAGTACTGAATCTTTGGATCACGCAAAAATTACGCTCCGCTAACCTCCTACCAAGGTTGCTACCTAGCTAATAACATGGCCGAAAGTTAGGTTGACATAACTTTGAATAGGGGAGTGAGGGTATGTTAGTTACCACCAATAGCCGTAGATCCATCTTTCTATAAATAAACCAAACACAACCCACAGTTCTTCTGCTCGCCCTGACGAAGGGCTGACGCTCGAAAGGTCTGCTTAATTAAGAAACTCTTTACAGTGGCCAATTTACATTTAAAACCGAATTATCGTAGTTAAACGTAGCCGATTTGTGAATTGTAGGACTTTAGTGAATTGTCTCAAAGGTGAATTGAATTTGTGAATTGTCAGGACTTTAGTCTTGCCTACCTAGTAACCTGCTTTATCAAATAAACCATGTATGTAATCAAGTGCTTAAACGTATTTCAAGTAAACCTCGTGTGTTCTATACCTGAAATCTAACATCTCTATCTGGAACACTCGAGAATTCTCTACAAAACTCAAACGCTTTGTCGACCTAAAATGGAGCAATACAAAAGAAGTCTAAAGCACTTTTCAACTGTGGAAAACAATGCACAAAGTTAAAGACATAAACCCACATAAATCAAAATTCGACTTACAATATTGGGCTAAAACAAATTCTGCGTATCAAACTCAGGCAGGGTTGTCACTAAGCGCCAGTTTCCGGCGAAATTCGTCGGATGAAAGAGCGGCGATCGCCGGCTGGATTTTTGACCGGCGATCGCTTGGTAAAGCACAACGGGCAATTCTGAGGTTACACACTTACAANAACAAAGCGCCAGAACCACCAACTACGTCATCAGAGCCAAACTCGTTCCCAGTTTCCGGAGACACCGATAACGTCTAATTTAGGGACTCCGAGCCACCAAAAAGCCGATTTAAATTTCTTTTCTTGAAATTTCTTTTGTCATTCCTTAATAAGGGCATAATAAGCTACAAAACTATGCAAAAAAATTTTTACTTCATAGGCACTTTAAACATTGTCAGCTTTGATTCTGTAAAAAGAAACTTTTCATTTTCTCTTAAAATTCCTTATTCACTGCACCTTGTCCAAAATATTTACGCCATGAATTCCTCTAACTAACCTGTAGAAGGCCATGTCCTAACGTGAGTCTATCAAGTCCTGCAAACAATTTTTGAGAGCGGGTAGTTATCAACTTGCATTTGTTGTAAAAATGGGGACGCTTTCTGATTAGCGAGTTAAGCCTCCTAATGGTTCTTCCCCCTTTTTTACTTAATTTTCTATCTAAAAATGAACAGACCAACGGTAACATGGAACCTATTTGTTAAATGAAAAATCGTGCTCATGATACAAATTAATTAAAAGAAACAAAAAAAGTTCTTTACCTTCCACGTGAAGGGCAGTATTTTCCAGTGCTCTACGAATGCTAAGAACAAAAATAAACTTTTAATGTAATAACTGCCCTAAATGGCGAAAAGCTACGCAAAGCTACGATACCAGTCTCGTTAACCTGGGACCGTCTGGAAAAAGCTGCCAAAGACAGCTTTTTCCAGACGGATATCAGATGAAAGCCCCATGTTCCGGATGGAATGCAAAAGCCTAAAACAAATTATTCAAAATCAGTCTTACCTGTGTGGAGAATAGGGAATATCATTTGCTTTGAGACCTGATAGCAGGAGAGCTGTAAGGTAATATTAAGTAAAAACCTGGAATGAGCTTAACAACGAAAAAATCAAATAACTCTTACAAATGTTTGCTGCAGTCCTTAGTACATACCAACTCCTCCACAAGCATTGGGTGAAGACATTGATGTTCCATTCATCAGTTGTGTTCCTCTCAGCGTCCAGTTGGGGACAGCAGCTATTGCTCCACCCGGTGCGCTGATATTCACTCCTAATGCGCCATCTGTGCTGTAAGATACAAAAAATGGGGGTCAGAGCTCTGCACAAAAGAGCATCATAAAATCACAATTTCAGAAGTTTAAAATCCAGAACTTTCCCACGCAACTTTCCCTTGAGCTTATCGGTTTATGGTGAATTCGCCCAACGCAATTTCGACCCTTACCACCTTGCAAGTTGGCCCCCGCCGTTACCAGCTCGTCCCAAATCTTTCGACTCCTTTCCCCACCACATAACGTATTCATCCCTATCGTAATCATGATATTTTGCGACCAACATTCACTGCGAACTCGCAAAAGTGATTGGAGCAAACTTGCAAAGGGGCGAACTCACCAGTTATCAGCTTTTCTTATTTAATCTGGCATGACATGGCTCATGGTATTACTTTGTTCTTTGCACGAGATGCTAACCCATAAAAAGATTTTCAGGCTTTCCTACCAATTCAGATACTTTAACTAAATTTTAATCATTTCAATTTTGGGCATGTCCAGCTTGATTTTAAGTTTTTATGTCTGCAGGCCACGCATATTTAGTCACTTGTGTCAATACGTAATCTCAATCGTAAAATTTGTGTATTCCTTGGGAATTACCCAAAATTATTAGAAAAATGAAGAGTGCGAACGACAAGTTTCAACTGTAAAATTGGGGACTTTAAGCAAACCACGACGGCTACGGCAACGAGATCGTGGAAAAACAATAGATCTAATTGGCAGAACAATAGCCCGGCACGTGCGTTTTAAAACTTTGTACATTTCGTAGCCGTCG